ACAGCCCAGAGCTGAGCTTCTTCTTGAAGACTGTAAGAATGAATAGCCCAAAGCAATTGTGATTTACTTCTGAGATTCGTCAGCAACCATACCACCCAAAGCCTAACCCCGCCAAAATAAATCCTCTGCCCTTCCATTAAGCAACAAGGTCAGAAGGGGATTCCGTGGACAGAGTTAATAAACAGCTAACATGGAAGGAATAATCAAACCACAGCCAGGGAGGGTTGGATGAGGCGTGAGCGTGCATCTCAAAGGGCACCCAGCCCACTCTCCTGCGGTTGCTGAGCTGATTCACTTCCTGCATCCCTTCCCAGGGCAAGGAGAGAGGGCAATGTGGAATAGGGACACAGGATTCATCATTTGCTGCCCTGCACTGGAAGGTCCTTGACCTCAGTGTGGGGCCCAGACCACACACATGGCTCCTACCCCCTCCTTCTTACATAACTCAAGGTCTAGAGGCACAGAGAGCTGGCCTTGGCTCACAGCATGAGGTCCAACCGCCTTGCCTCCTCCCCTCTGACCTGTCCCGCTTACTCCTCATCCGCGCACAGGGCACACTCACAAAACTAGCTAGAAGCCCTTTTGTACCAAGAGAAATCCTGGGGGAGGGCAGGTCTTCAGAGACCATCTCATGCAGCCTTTCTCAAGCAGAGGCGATGCTGCCCCGGGGCACCTCTGCTGATGTCCAGAGGCGTTCTCAGACGTCAAAAAGAACTCTGAAGCCAGTATAGTGCCACACATCTTTAATCGCAGCACAGGCAGGCAAATCTGAGTTTGAAGCCAGCCAAGGGAGATGGAGATATATATCCCAGTAGAGTGCTGGCTATTCTCCCGGAGTACCTAGGCTGGGCTTTTAGCATCTATATGGTAGCTCATACCACCTTTAACTCCAGTTCCAGGGAGATCTGATTCCCTCTTCTGGTCTCTATGGGTACTGGTCTCTATACACACACACAAACACACACACACACACACACACACACACACACACACACACCCATATATATAACCAGAGTTGATGTGGTGTGGCAGCACTATTGTGTAGAGGCTAAGGTACAGGAAAGTGCCCACTAAGACACAGACAGCCCCCTCCTCTCTGCCTCCAAGTGGCAATGGTGCTAAAGGTGAGTTACCTTTACAGAATCCAAGCCACTCTGACAGAGAAGGAAACTGAGGCTCAGAAAGAGACAGGTCCCATGTCACACTGCCACCTGGACAATGTTAGAACCAGAACCTGAGGAGGCTGTCTGCCAGCCACATTCAGCTGCTGGGAATGTAGCCAAGGCCAGCGGCAGGCTCCCAGAGCAGCTGGATTCTGGGCTCTGGGATCTAGAGGCTGTGTGGTTGGGCTCTGTGTCTCTGACAGGCTCCCAATGAATCCCCCAGGTAGCACGGGCCACCTTGGCTATAAAGCTACTAATTAACCAAAGGGGTATGACCTTAAGGGACAGAATGGCCTGCTTGAGGCTCAGGCAAACTCTCCTTCCTCAGGTCTGCACAATCCAGAGCCTGCTGTGGGTGATCCTGGCCTGGTCAAGGTCAGAAGGCATGCTAAAATCCAGCTTAGCAGGCAAGTCAGAGATGGGAATAAAACTAGGCCACCACTTTGGGGGACAGCATCCTTGTCACCAAGTGCAAAAAAAATGATGGTCTTTTCGCATGGGATGGCTCCCCTCTGCCAGACTACACAATTTCCTAACAATCCCCGGGGTCATCCTTGTCCTTGTCTCCATGTGAGGGCCAGACCCTGGACAGCAGAGTGAGCACTGACTCATGAAGTGTTGCAACAGGCGTACTTTTCCATCCACGCTGGTGGAACGCCATCAACGTGCAAAGGGACAGAAAACTGGGTCTCAGGCATGGACTTACGCTCTCCATGTGGACCCACAGAGGGTGTCTAGGGGCAAGGATGGCAGAGGGATGGGTTGTCTACAACAGGTATGAGAGAAGCCCCACCCTGCCTTATCTCTCCAGGTGAAGCCTTACCTGGCTTCCTTGACTGGCCCACCCCTCCTCCCCAACTACCCCAACAAGCGAGGAACTAACACATTCTTCAAGGCTGGGCTCCGGCACTCCCTGCCCCAACTTCAAGGTCCAGCAGGAGCATTCCAGTGCCATGAACTGAGCTGTTTGGGGTCAAAGGCAGGGCTTGGGCAGGAAGCCAAAACTCCCAGTGGGTCTATGAAGGTCAGGCAGGAGAGTGGCTTTCTGTAGGAGGGTGTGTGCCTCACCCCTGCCCCCAGGCTCTCCCCCTGCATTCCCAGGGGGGCCTCTGAGCCCCCCTCCCCACCAGCCTTCTCAGATTGGCCACTTAGCCTAGCTCATCTTAGCGTCCACCGCTCCTTAGGAGGCTGGATTCCTCCTCACCAGGACTCTTCCACTGCCCCTTGCAGTGTCCATCAGCTCATGGAGATATCCCTGTAGGTGACTCTGGGAATAGCCAGCCTGAAGGCCCTGACCTGGGTTCTGGGACCCTCCTCCCCTTGCCTCTATGGCGGGGTGTCCCCTCTCTTTACGTGGAGAAACAGAATGGGGAGAGAGATTCAAGCCTCTCCAGGTCTCATGAATTATGGAAATCTTTCTTCCTGTACAGATTATTTTTGATCAGTGAATACTTCTTACAAAGCTACTGTATGTTCCATGCTCCTGATGAGGCTTGTTCTCTGGGGAACACTAAAAGGCACAGTTACTGCTCAAGAGAGACATAAAGCCTACCTAGAGAAACCAGATTACCACACATATACCACCACCACCATCACCCGTTGGATTTGCTCTGCAACCTACAGATGTCTTTGGAGCACCCACTTGCTCATAAAACCTTATTTCTCACTAGGGGAAACTGAGGCAAGAAAAGTGAATTTTTTTCCCCAATCCCTGGCCAACCCTGCAGGGTAGTAAGAATCAAGAAAAGGCAATGACAGGCTGGAGAGATGGTTCCATGGTGAAAAACACTACCTGTTCTTCCAGAGGACCCCGGTTCAGTTCCCAGCACTCACATGGTAGCTCACAACTGTCTGTAACTCCAGTTCCAGGAGACCCAAAATCCATACCAAAACACCAATGCACATAAAATAGAAATAAATAAACTTTTAAAAATATTTAAAAAAAAAAAAAGCCATGTAGCAGTGGCGCACACCTTTAATCCCAGCACTCGGGAGGCAGAGCACTCTGTGAGTTCGAGGCCAGCCTGGTCTACAGAGTGAGATCCAGGAAAGGCTCCAAAACTACAGAGAAGCCCTGTCTTGAAAAAAAAAATTAAAAAAGAAAAGGCAATGACAATTACTGTTTCCAAATGAGACCTCTGAGGAGTGGGGAGGAATTCCACTAGGTGGGACGAAGTCGCTCATCCTCCAGCTCAGGAGAAGAACACACTGGCTGTCCACTTTACCCAGCACACTGCCTTTCCTTGCCCCTACAAGAAGTGGGATTAACGATAATGGTTTTATTTAACTGGATTAAGAAAGAAGTTGCCCCAAGTAGGGGCAGGGTGTGAAGGCATCTGGGAGTGTGTCTGTAGCTTTCTGGTCCTCGGTTTCAATGTCCTTCCTGCTCTTCAAGGGCAAAGACCTGCCGGCTGGAAAAGAACTCAGCTGTTTCTGGTTAACTCACGCTGTTCTGGCCAAGTTTCTTCCCGATGCCAAGCACTGTAGCTACAGAAGGGAAGCGCCCGTCCTGCCTCCTGCTGTCTGGGGAGCTTAACAAGGGGCTGCTGGGTCTGGGCAGTGTTTCCTAAGGGGATTTGCGTTCTATTTGGAGGTGCCCTTGCCTTGTGCACTCCTGGAACTGCAGGGGAGACCAACAAGAAACAGGCCCCTGCTGGTCACAACCAGAATGCAGACAGGGCAGCAATGGCTCAGCCGGTAAAGGTGCTTGCTACTAAGCCTGACAACCTGAGTTCGATCCTCAGGTCCCACATGGTGGAAGGAGAGAACCTATTTCTGCAAGTTGTCTTCTGATTTCCATGGGCACCCCCCCGACACGCACACACACCGTAATAAACAAATGTAGTGATCTCCTAAAATGCAGGCGCACCTGGTCTCAAGAGGCTGGGGTCGAGGTCCACCACTGTGCTCGAGCCAAATGCTTAGCCTTTTGGAGGGGTCTCCTTTCTTTCTTCACTTACCACCTGCACGCTTTGTCCCCGGGGGAAAAGTGAAATCTGGGGTGTCCATGTCAGCCACGATGGCTGCTTTGGGATCCAACCCCCTCAGCGCCTCCCCTGGGGGCGGGGTGCAGCTTTCCTTTCTGCACCAGGCAGTGAGCTGTTCTCTCACGGAAGGAAGAAAGCCCATTGTGTGCACACCCGTGAGGGTTTAGTGGACTCTGGTGCTCTTCACCTGCAGGCTGCAGCCCCCCTCATGACTTAGGCTCATCACACTTGGGCTCGGGGCTTGAGAGTGCTTGGATGGGCGTCAATGAGGACCCGGCCTCATTGACAGAATGAGACAGAGAAGGAAAAGAAAAAAGAAAAAGAAAGAGGAAAAAAAAAAAAAAACATCTCCCTGCGGCCGGGCACCCTCTTTATCAGGGTGCAGACCTACCTCCTTAGGCATAAAACTGTGCCTGCCAGGCACACTATCTAACTGGTTCATAGCGTGCGTCTAGGGGAAGGAGGCGGGAAGTTCGGATATAAACATCCCTGAGGCTTAAGAATTACCAACTGTCAGTTCCCATCCCAGGATTTTTTTCAGGGATGGAGAGCCAGAATGGGGAGGGTGTCTACTTCGCTGCTTTAACTAAGAAAAACTGAATTCTCAGGGAGGCTGGGGTGGAGGCATCTCCTCTTTCACGTGGGCTCGGGGTGCCTGGGTACAAGTGTTTGCCTTAGCGCTCTCGCCTGATGCACCGCCGTCCAGGCTCAAACTTTCCAAGATCCGTCATCTCCAAGCAACCACCCGCGCTCCGCTGCTCAGCGGCAGAGAAGAGTGCATGGACAGGGTCAGGACGCACGCGAGGCGGAGACCCGTGGGGAACACTGGCCGAGTCCCGCCCTCGGTTACCTGGGTTCTGAGGCTCACTGGCGTCCCGTGGACAGGGCGCAGAGACACGGCAGGGGCAGACTGGAGACGGGCCACTCCTCCTGGGCCACCGCGGGCCCCCAGGCTCATGGGAACTGCACCTGGAGCACCAGGCGGCGCGCCCTCCAGCCGCGGGTCTCCGCCCAGGCTGTCCTGGCGCGGGGCGGGGCAGGGCGGCCCCGGGGAGGAGCCGAGAGATGAGCTCCCCTCCCAGCTCCCAGGCCGCGCCAGGCCTGGAGCCCTGAACTCTGGGCCTCTTCACCTCCAAAGCCTCGCCATGTCCCTTCAGCCTCAGGTGTTCCTTAGATGGAATCTGAGGTGCACAAGGTCCTCTTTCGCACCCTGTACCCTCTGGTGGGTACTCCACACTACCCCTACCCTTAGATCTGCGGTCTGGGAGCCCAGAGGCCACCTTGTAGGTGCAGCTCACTGAAGGACATAAAAGCAATTGGTATACTGTCCTACCCCATGGAGTCCTCTCCCCTGCTGAGAGGCTCCTGGATGACTATGAGCCCTGCCATCCATCCGCCTAGGACAGTGGGTCCTTGGCAACCCTCTACTCTTCTTGGAGGGCTCCGAGTCCCAGGTCCCAGGCTCCCAGATTGGAAGGTGCTGGGCATGGCTCTGCCAGCTAGTGGACACAGAGGTAAGAATGAAGACACACAGAGGACAAAAAAATCTGGCTCCAGGGATCTGGAAGCTGGCTCTCCAGGTGCGGAAGAACAGCCCAAAGCCATTTCCTCCTCCTCCCCCCCTACTGCAGGCAGTCAAGCCCCAGAATCAATCTGAAAGGCTCCAGTGGGCAGTGGACAGACACTTTGGTCCACCCGCTAGTCACCTACCCTCTGCTTCCTGCCCTGTCTTGCTGGCAGGTATGGGCACTGGGAACAACAGGAGACCTGGCCTCCAGACACCTGGGCCTTAGTCTCCAGACAACTCTGACCTTGAGCAAGCCCTGGCCTCTTCCAGGTCTGTTTCTGAATGGAGTCACTGTGATGTATTGGAGCAAATTGCCTTCAGCCCCTTTTATAGATACCAGATCATGATATTGGGCATCTTGTTTTATAGTTTGGTGGCTGGATTTGTTTTCTCAGAAGTGTGTGTGTGTGCGCGTGTGTGTGTGTGTGTGTGTGTGTGTGTGTTCATGTGCGGTCATGTATGCTGGTTGGCCAGTGGGCCCCAAGGATCCACCTGGCTTTGCCTCCCAGTGTTAGGATTACAAGCATGAGCCGCTAATTCTTGGCTTATTTGTGTGTCTGTGTGCATGCCTTATGTGCCCAGGTGCCCACGGAGGCCAAAATCAAAGGAGTTGGGTGTTGGATCTCCTAAGTTGCAGGTGGTTGTGAGCCACTGGATATGGGTGCTGGGGACTGCTCTCAGGTCCTCTGAAGGAGCAGCAAGTGCTCTTAATGCTTCTCTCCAGCCCCTTGTCCCTTTTAAACATGGACTGTGGGGATGGAACACGGGTTTTTATGCTTGAGAGGCAAGCACTTGACCAACTGAGCCACCCCCCAGCACTCCCAGATCTAATTGCTTATGGGGAAAGTGTATTAGCCACATAGGCAGGCAAGCATCCTGTGCAAACCAGTTTGACTGGGGAATGGAAATGGGATCCACGCTGTGCTCAGCCTTGGGTGAATCCACTAGATGGAGATG